AGTACAACGTTGATGAGTCTATTCCAATGCCACCTACTAAAGGGAGATTTGTCAATAAGGTGAAGGAATCAGGGTTCCTAGAGATTAGCCTCGATGATCTCACCATCAAGTTGTTTGACTCTTTCTTGAGAAGCCGCTTGAATTCACAAGGTAGACTAATAGCATGTAAAAAAAGGCTAACGTGTCGTTGACCTGTACATGTATGATGGAAATGAATGGCACACATGTTGCACGTAACCCCTCAATGTTAAATATTGCTTCATTATCATAAACTCGACTACCAAGAGAGTATAAAATCACATATTGTAAGGTGAGGGGTAAAGTTCCACACACTGGAAAAGTTGAAGGGCAATATGTGGGTTTTTGCCAATAATCATGTAATCCACATAAAGAAGTAAAAGAACCATATCTCGAGCAATCTTACAAATTAACAGAGTTGCATCTTGTGAATTGGAAGTAAAACCAAACTTACTTACAATAGCATTGAACTTTGCATACTAGGCTTGAGGGGATCACTTCAAACTGTATAATGCATGTCTTAATTGGCATACATTTGTTCAGCTAATGATTGAGTTTAGGAGGTGATTTCATATAAACTTTTTTTTCTAGGTCACCATTATAAAAAACATTTTTCACATCCATTTGAAACAATTTCCATCTCCGTATAATAATGATAACAAGCAAACTATGCATAGATGTGAGACAATCAACTAGAGCAAATGTTTCTCCATAGTCTATTCCATACTCCTATGTAAAACCTTTAGCAGCCAAGCGTGCCTTACAACACTTCATAGAACCATCAAATCGCATTTTGATCTTGTACACCTATTTATAGCCTATCAGAGACTTTTTAACAAGAAGATCAACTAACTCCCATATACAAATGTTCTTAAGAGCCTGTAATTCATCTTACATAACTTGCTACCAAAGAGGGTTAGAAGAGGCCTCTTGATAGGATTGAGGCTCATGTAAAGAAGTAATAGTAGGAAAACAATAATAATTATGAAGGTAATTGGGAAGATTTCTCACCCAAGTAGGATGACTCAATGGTGGAATAACAAACTCATTTTCAAACTCAACAACACCAAATTCAACATTAAGAAGTGATATAGATAATAGAATGGAAGAAGTCTTAGAATTATCTAATGCATTACAAACAGGCAGACCATTTTTTGTAGAACTAGTTGGAGCATGTGGTGAGGCATTGTAAAGCTCACTAAATGTACCTACATCAAAATCATTATGAAACAGTTAAACAAAAAGATTAGTAAAAAATAGAGACTGATCAAAGGATGACTCTTTAAAGTCTAACAACAATGAAATCATAGTGTGTTTCCAAAAGACAACAATACATAAAACTCAAATTTTTTATGACACAGGATCCCAACAATGATATCATTTATGTGCAATCCCATAATCCAAAAACAACATAATCGAGCTCTAGGCACTAACTCGTTATGTTCGTAAGGTGGAAGAAGAACATAACAAGCACAATAAAAAACCTCAAGAATATCATAAACAGGAAGAATACCATGCAAAGACTTGTATAAAGACTGATTATTGATGACTAATAATGGAATCTGATTAATGAAATAAATAGCTATAAAAGAAACTTCACCCCAAAATCACTCTAGACAAAAAAAAAAAAAAAAAAAAAAAAAAAAAATGAAATGAGTAGAACATGAACAAAATTAAAGATTGTCTATGTTTGAGTTCAGCTTGCCCATTTTGTTTTAGAAGTGTTGGGACAAGATTGTTGTGTTAGTGCACCCTATTCTTTGAAAAAAGATTCAAGTTTAGTATCAAGATATTCAATAGTATTGTCAGTTCTCAAAACTTTGATAATTTTAGAGAACTAAGTTTTGACAATGGTAGCCAAAACAATGTAGAGTTATGGTAATTCAGAGTGGTTTTTAATTAGATAAATCCAAGTAAAATGAGTATAATCATCAATAAATAACACCAAGTAGATGAAACCACTCATGGTACGTGTAAGAGATGGACCCCAAACATTAGACTGCATGAGATCAAAAGGAGCAACAGAAAAAGAATGACTAGTCAAAAATGATAAAGCTAGTTGTTTTGTAGATTAACATGACATGAATGCGATAATTCATTATGAACAAATCCTAATAAACCACAAGAGATAAGGGGACAAAGTTTACCAACTGAGGTCCGTTCGAGCTATGAATGCCACAAATGGAAAGGAAAAATGTTAGTAGTAGAATGGGCTTGAAGATTTGTTTAAATGGAATTTGCAAAGACTCTAACTCAATAACACAAAGTAAGGTTCAAATGAAAAGATCATTTGGAAATAATGGTGTATCCATTTTATAATATGGAATATGTAGATAATTAAGCTCAAACATACACCCCACCTTACAACTAGTTCTAAGAAGTTATCCTATTTGTAGGTCCTACATATGACAACCATAAGCGAAAAATGTTATTTTAAGGGCAATATCAGATAGAAGATTATAACTAAGTTTTTGAACCAAGGGAACATTTGGTAAAGTCAATGATTTTGTAGAAATATTGCTAGTGTGACTAACATTCATAGGGTAACCATCAGTAGAATAAATATTAGGAAAGGAATTATTTGGTGACATTGAAGAGAAATAAGTGGTAGTTGAAAGCATATGATTACAACAACCAAAATCAAGCTACCAAGGTTAGTACCTGGAGCAACAAATAAGGCAGTAGGAGCGTTAAAAAGATTTAATATTACATATTTTAGAAATTCAAGGTTAACACTATGTTAATCTATCACTTCTTTAGCAACCATAGTAGTAGTAGAATAAGTCACAATTCTTTCAAAACTCATCGGAGAATCAGTATAACTTAGAATACCAAAAAAAACTCTAAAAAACATGAAGAAATAAATGTCAAGATTGAAATAACAACTCAATAAAATACCTCAAAAAACAATGTGAGAATTGAGAATAAGTAATCCAATTTGCAATAAAAGAGATCCCAATGACAGAGTTTCAGACTCATAATGGATTTGAAAATCCAACTTAAAAACAAACTAGTGATGGTAAAAAGAGATGAATCAGGAGCTTATAACATTGATATCATGTTACAAACCAAAAAGAGGGAGTTGTTTTCTTGTCTTCATTGTATATACAAAGGACCCATATATAGATCTATAAAAGATTCCTAAATACAAAACCAATTAGCTTAAATATATACAATCAATTACAATATGAACATATATTAATAGTGTGAATGTTAATATTCTAACAAGAAGAATACGTAAATTTGTCATTAAAATAATTTTTTGTTATAAATAAAAAATGTCTCTTAATGATTCATTAATTTTCTAATATTGTCAAATAATTGAAATAAAATTTCTTATCCAAAGAGTCATTTGTTCAAAATAGAGGGAGGTGTGAGTAATGTACAATATAATGTAATGCGCCATTGTATTTTAACATTGCCCATACAATAATAATTTCCTTTATAATTAGTTTGGGAGATAGTAGCTCTACAATTGTCCAGTATAGATCGTATAGTTTATAATCATTAACAAAGAAATTCATCTTATAGTCAAGGAACTCATACTTTATTAATAATTGTAAGATATATAATATATGAAGAGAAAACAGAATAAGATTTTCTTTTTACACTAATTTTGTTAAAATAAATTACATATTTTACAATTATTAATAGAAAAAAGAACAAGTGCACATTTAAAGAGAATTTCCTTTTTATTAATAATTATAAAATGTGCAATACACATAGAAAGTACTAAACAACATTTTCTTTTTGCAGTAATTATGACATCATGCTCACCCCTCTACCACATGACATTTTTTTGACACAGCAAAAAAAGATGGTTTTATTGCTTGGGAGTTACATACTTATTAATTGTCAAATGAAAGCTCATGGTCAAAAAACTAGTTAAAGCAATTATTTACTTTCTCAAGCTCAGTTTTGGCCCACGTTTCCATTCATTGAAGCCAAACCTTGGCAATTTTGATTTTCCTAATATCCAATGGAAAGCTCTTATTTGTACCAGTTCCATGACTATGGCCTCATTTACATTTTTCTTCTAGAAGATCATCTCATTCCTTGCCAACCATATTGCCCGTAACACCAAGCACCAAACAGTAATCCATCCTTCAGTGACTAATTTATCTTTGAATAATGAGAATTGTTGTTGGAAGGCCCCTAAGATTTCCTTAGCCATGACTAAAGCAATTCCCCACCATTGCAAGCATAAATTCTAGACTTTAGAGGCAAAATTGCAATGTGATGGTTTGTGTCTTCTTGGTCATAACAAAAGCAATATTTTAGTTGATTGTCACTCAAAATGCCTCCTCCAAATAAATTTCTTTTTGTGGCAATATTGTCTTGTAGTGTTTGCCAAATAAAAGCAAGGACTTTTAAAGGTATCAAACGAATCCAAAGCTTGTTGTAGGGCCATCCATCAACACTTCTAAAGTTGTCTTTTAGCAATGGTTAAAATCTCATTTTGGTTCATCTACTTTAACAAAAAGTTTCCTTTTTAATCTCTCTGCTTAAGAAAAATCCCTTTAGTCGCTAAATTTTATTATCCTGTCCCTTTTAATCCCTCTATTATATTTTTTCATACATAACATATTAAACAATGAAAATTTTAAAATAAAGACTAAAAAGGGATTAAAAAATTCCCTTTTGGTTCTTTTACTTAAAAAAAACCCATTTTTATTCTCTCTTCCATCATCTAACATACTATATGTCCAAAAATATACTAGAAGGATTAAAAGCGAATTAGATTATAGACTTTAGGGATTAAAAAAAAAATTAAGTAAAGAAACTAAAAAACTTTTTTTT